TCAAATGTATTGGCATGGGAATATGGGGAAAATAACCAAAAAGAGCAGTTCTAAGAGTTCTATCTTTGCTCAAGGAGCTGATCATTGTATGGACAAAGCCAGTCTTTGAAGAGAAGCACAAAGCACTGAATGTGTAAAGGGACTGGGGTACGGCCCAAGCAATGCAGACCCAGCTTACACCTTGAGGTGTGGCCATTCTTGGCCACGAGACGTAGCCAAGATGAGATAGCCACTCGGAGATCAATATAGGAATTAATATGAATGTTCAGAAACAAGATGCTTAACAGAGATGGGGTGAGTGTATGTGTGTGTCTCCTTTTAGTCGTGTGTGTGTCTATAATTTTCCTCATTACAAATGGGTTCTCTGGTACTGCCACTCTTGTGCTATATTACCTTAGAAAATTCCTTCCTAAGGAAGTTCTTCCAGTTTCTGCCTTTTGATTTCTTTATTTACTAAATAAGAAACTAAATAGATCATGGGTCCGCAACCTATGGCCATGAACAACAATCTGGCCCACCACCTGTTTTTGGCAAGTTTTATTGGAACACAGTCACACCTGTGTATTTTCTACAGCTGTCAAATGACATTGACATTGTCAAATGACAATGGCAGAGTTGAGTAGTTGTGACAGGGCCCCTGTGATCTGCAAAGCCTAAAATCTTTACTATCTGACCCCTTACAGAACACCTCACTAACCCTGAACTAGACTAACTACTAACCTTTGACTTTGGCTTCTGATTCTGTAAAGTACAACGAAATAATACAAAAGCCTACTCTGTTTCTTGCCTGCTTTATTTATACATACCACCTTATTCTTAGAAAAATTTAAGCAGCTCACCAAACAGTAAGGGGGCATATAACCACATACGTGTAAAGTGTGAGGAGGAGAGTAAGAAAATCAGGACAAAGGGAAAATGAGCCAAGAGACAAAGAGATGAAGTCAGGGGGATGTGAACGTGTAGAATGCAAATCCTGAGATGCTATGTGTTTTCTGTGGGCCATGAACTTGGCTCATAGCAGCCACTACGAGGAGAGGGCCATGACCCCTTTCCCAACTTAAAGTGTTCATGGAAGATCCACCAGGAAGACCACAACAATCCCTGGCACAAAGAACCACCTATCTCCTGAGTCTGTGCATAAAAGGGATAACATGAGGTATAGTGAACAAAGCCCCAGCAACACCCAAACAGCTGCGGGGTATCTCCACAGCATTCACTGCTACACGGAACATTCTGCAGCGTGGGCCAGCTCCACATCCCAAAGTGGACTTTCCACCCATTCTTCCAGTATATTCCCAAATTTTGAAATAAGCATATACCCCCTTTTATAATCAGAAAATAATAAATATCTTCAATTAAAAAAAAAAAAAAAAGGAAGCCGCAACCATTGCCCGCCTGGTCCTCGCTTTGAAGCAGAACCCCTCAGCCATGCGTTCTAAGCAGAGACTCTGTCCAGTCTTGCTCTTTCCTGGAAGCTAAGCCTGAGTGCCACAGCGGGAGACGAGGCAGGCTCTTCCAAGACCTGAAGCTGAAGCTCCAGGTGGGAAGTTAAAGCCCTGCTGAATGGTGACTATCATTTATCCTTTTTCACACGGAGCTCTACAACTTTATATCTAGCTTATCAATAGAAAGAGTTCACACCCGGCATCTCTGTCGCTCGTGGCTTTATGCCCAGGGCCCAGAATAGTGTGCCTGGTGCAGGTGAGAAATAAGCACTTACTACATGAACCATGGGCTCGTCTGAGAGATCCCAGACAGCAGGTGTGTCTACAGATGTGCTGGGGTTGTCTTGGGGAATCCTCCCCAACCTGGGCCTTACCCATAATGCCCAGCTCTGAGACTCTCACCTATGACAATGAGACAGGTAAGAAAGGGGCCCAGGTGTGGAGGCCAAGCTCCTGAGCCATGTGTCAAAAAAAAAAAAAAGAAAGAAAGAAAAAGAAAAAATTAAAAATTGAATAGGGAAACACTGAACAGCTGGATGTCTAGTCTTGCTTCAGTCCCATTGTTGCAAGGATAAACATTTGGACAGCTCAAGACAAACACAGCTTTGGGTTCTGAACAGGCAGAGCTGCTTTCTCGTGCACACTGAGACTTCCATGTGTAATCTGCTCCCTCCTCAGAGCAAAGCCCTGCCTTCTCCTGAAGGAGAGGCCTGTTCCGGAGGCACTGCCCGGAACTCCCAGACGCCTGCTCTCTGTGCAGCTGAGCCTGCTCTGCTCTGAGTGAGCCAGGGCGGCATGGGCAGGATTTTCTCCAAGGAGACCTTCAGAGAGAAGCTGGCGTCACGGGAGGCTGAGGCAGATGGTGCTCCTCTGGGCAAATGTTAAGAGAATCAGGCCAAACCGCCTCAGGACCTAATTGGCTCAGACAGTAATGTCAAAATGTCACGGCCAAAGCAGCAGCTGACAGTGGCTTAGAAAAAGAAGAGGCATTATCTTCAACTGGGAAGTAATGACACAGAAAGAGCACTAGATGAGGAGTCCAGGGGCCTGCAGGTCCGAGCCTGGTGGTGTCACTTGAGGCTGCATATTCTTCAGCCAGGTGTTGCCCTTCCTAAGCCTTGGGTTCCTCGACTGTAAGATAGACATGAATTCATTGATAAGACTGGCTCACTTGCTTCCTTGTTTGAACCCCTACAGCCCAACAGCAAAGTAGGCGATATGGAACAAATACAACATGGCCCTCGCCCTTCAACCTGATCATAATGTGTAGGGCCTCACACAGAGCCTGTCTCACAAGAGGCTCTCAAGAATGTTTCGTGAGCAGGAATATCAAGACGGCTACTGGTGCACTTGGCCTGGAAGTTCTGCTTCCAAAGCACGTCCGCCCACCTGCCTGCACCAGGTGGGGCTCGTTCAGGCCTTGCTGCAGCGGCTTCGCTGGCGGCCTGTCCCCAGCACCAGAGCTCACGGTCCTCACTGACCCTAGCCCCTTGAGCTCCCACCTCCCCAGTCCGCCCTCCACCTGTCCGCTTGTATTTCTCTCTGCACAACCTCCCATCGTGATGCCCCTCCCTCAAAATCTCCTTTCCCTACAAAATTCAGTCCAACTTCTTCAGCTGGGCATTTGAAGACCTGACAAGCTGTCTCCAGCCCACCTTCCCAGGCTTCTGTCCCCTCGGGTGGCTTTGTGTTCACGACCTGGGCCTCCCTCCGTGCCATGCCCTTTCTCTGCCACCCCTTCCCTCCCTCTGGGATGATCCCCTGTCCTCAGCGGACACTCATGATGCTAGCTCACAGTTCAAAGTTCAACTCAAATACTTTCTTATTGTTTATTATTTAGGTATTCTCCTCAGATTCTGGCCCACTAAGTGGTCCCTTTCCTGTTCCCAAGCTTTTATCTTTGACATCTTCTCTGTCATCAAGCATGGGCTCAGTTCATCTTGAAATGGAAATTTTAGCTCAAAGGCTCTCCTCTCTATGAACTGCCACGAAGGCTTGCTTGATGGTCTCTATGTCCCCACGCTCAGCGCCCCCCACGCACACCCACACAATGCTTGTACTCATCATGTTTCTCCTCCAGACACTCCTTCAATAACTTTTGTCCATGGTGCAATGGAATTAGATCACTCCTTGTTTTCCATAGGGCTGGAAAAAATGCCTAGCCAAGTCAAGCTCGGTAACTCTTGGCTGATGCTGATGAAGATAATTAAGGCTGTCTACAGTGGCCACGTGGAAGTGACAGGCATCACATTTGGGCAACCAAAGTGTCTGCTGAACCTCGTCCACCATCACTACCACAGGTACAGAATGCGCTGCCTGCATTTCTTCCCACATGAGTGCCCAGACCCGGAATTCAACCTCCACAAGCTTCCTACACAGAATCCGCTCTTACACAAGCACAAAAGAGCAATGGAGCCTTTACCGAAGACTCTGCAGGGAGGTGAGGATGGGGGTAACATGGCACAGCCTGCAGCAAGCCACCTTCACTTGCTCATTAGACGCTCCGTGCCACCAGGTCTCTCCTGGTCCTACCGACCCGGGTCATCTTGCTCCAGGCAGCGACTGGCCTCACTGGTTCCTCTCTCCTCCTCTCCCAAGCCCCAGCTTTAAATTTCTCCCTTTTCTATGTTGCCAGCAATTAACGTCAGCCACAGCTTCACATCCAGACTCTCCAGAAGGCTCGGCTCCTGAAAGCTCCCTCAGTTCATAGAACCTTGTCCTCCTGGAAGGCTGTTTGGCCACCACTTTTGTGACACGAGCATGACATTCAGTGTCTTCTCCCCTCCCTCAAGCAGTTTGTGAGATATTCATTGCAAACATAATATAGAGTTCTCCCCAAGAAGGATTCTGATGGGTGGAACTTTCACCACCTCCCTACACCTTTCGTCACCTCCTCACTGAGCTTTTGCCAGGAAACATCAAGGTTTCCAATGTCCCTACCTGATCTTTGATTCACCCAACTGTCAGGACATTCCCATTCATTCTTTGAGCCAAATGAGTCTTGACCAAGCCCCAGCTTCAGGCCCAGGAAGGGCAGCTTCCAGAACTGTAACAAGAAATCATTTGGAATACAGCATCCTTCTCAGGGGAACTCCTGTCCCAGAGCAGACCCAAGAGAGCCAAGAGAACTCTCTGGATCCTGGCATTTATCCTTTATGGGCTCTCTGCAGAATTCTGAGCACACATGTCTTTGACTCCCTTCTCCTCTCCAAGATTATCAAGCTGTGTACATGTGCGTCCGTGTGCATGCTCATGTATGTGTGCATGCCTGTGTGTGCATGCACGTGTATACCTAGGCTGTTGGCAGAGGAAATGCTCTACATCCTCCCCAACAGACCCTTTGCCCCAGATGCTGGCCCACTCTGCAGATACCCCTCAAACCACTGGCTCATGTACACAGAGAACCCGGCCTCTACTCCATGACCCGCTGTTCACCCCCAACTTCCCAATAGCCAGAGGCCTGGAGAAGCCCCAGGAAACATGGCGTCCCTCTAAGCAGAGGCATCATGGACCAGACAGCAGGCCTCCCCGAGGAGGAGGGAGTTGGGGACTCACCAGGACTCTGCCAGTCAGTGTCTGGGCAGATATCATCACCCCCGCCCAGTCCTTCACGGAGGTCATCCAGCCGACCTCGGCTGCCGTTGCCTCCTCTTTTTCGTCCACTGGCTTGAGAGTGCCATCCGCCTGGCTTGAGCCATTGTTAATCTTCTGCGCCTCCTGGCAACAGAGAGAACAGGGTTGAGAATAGGAACCAACTGAACTCATTAAACACAACCTACCCAAAAGAATCAAAGTTGGAAGGGTCCTGGCTGATGGGGGAACTGGCTTGAAGGTACAAGGGGCAGGGAGATGGGATGCATGATGGCTTTGATTTTCTTTTAAATCTTTTTTTTTTAAGAATTTTTTCTTTATTTTCTCTTAAAATATCTGTGAAAGAAAGAATGAAATTATTCTCTTTCCACTTTAAAGGGGGAAAAAATTACTAAACTCAGGAGAGAAAGCATCTTGTCTAGGGTCATGGAATAACTACAAAGGAGATGAGGTTGGCATGCTGTGGTCTCCACCTGCCCAGCTTTCCTATCCTGCTCGTAAGAGCGCCCTATCTTTCTTAAGAAAATCCCCATCTCCTCATCGCCATCTGTGTAGTTCAAAAGGAACTGAAGGCCCACAATGGCTCCAGGAATAGAGACTGATTAATTGGACCATCCCATCCCTTAAGCAAGAGCAACTGGGCCAGTGATGGTTACATGACCCATGCCAATCCAATACACCTCAAGCCTGGGAATTTTGCTGGAAAGAGTAGGAAAGGTAATCCTTCCCTGAGAATGAAGCTACCACAGAGGAAACTAGGAGAAGTGACAGAATACTGATGTCATTTGAACACCTGAATCCAGCTGTGCCTGAAATCCACACCAGAGCTTTTTAATTACAAAAGAGAATAAAATTCCCCTTCATGGCTAAAAACATGCTTGAGGAAACAAGGTTGACTTCTTTAGGTAAATGAGGCCAACTTGGGGTCCTAAATTGCATGCTTTTGTATGCATTCTTTTCTCCCACAGGGGGATCAAAGCTCTCCCCCCCACCACCACCTCCCTCAAGTCTTTGCTCAATGAAATCTTCTCTGGCTACCCTTTTAAAATTCCAGTTCTGCCTTCCAACAGCACCACTTTTTCTCTTTTATTTTTCATTCATCGTCTGCCTCCCCCTACCAATTCCGGCATCCTGAGGGCCTAAAAGAGTGACTTGCATATAGGTGGCTCAATAAACATGAATGAATAAATAAAAAGGGTTATGAGTATCAGCCCCTCGCTGGGCCTAGGATTGCCAAACAAAATACGGGACACCCAGAGAAAACTGAGTTTCAGATAAACAACAAATTTTTTACACGACACATAGCTATACTAAAAATATATTCATTATATAAAATTTAAATTTAACTGGGCCCCCTACTCAAATATCCACTGAGATTATTTTTGCAAGTATAGATGTAGAAAAAGATGCCGGCAAATTATGTTCAGCATTTAAAAGCTTAGAATTAAGTTTCAAAGCAAACAGACACTGGGGATCACTGTGAGTTGGAGCAAGGGAGAGAAACCAAGGCAGAGGTGAAAACCTTCGTCTGCAGTGAGTGGGGGTAGGGCAGAGTGAGGAAAGGACAGACCTGTACCCCTGAAACAAATAGTACTTTATATGTTAATAAAAATATACCCCCAAAAAAGAAAGAAAACAGAGATGAGATGCACGGGATGAGTCCTCTTGGGGATTTGCAGGCAGGCAGGAAGCTGCTCCTGACACAGGGTTCTCCCCTTCTGGCCTCCATGGGTTCAAGAGAAGCTGGGAAGCCAGAAGGTACATCAGCAGAACTGGGTGCTCATGCTGTCTCTCCCAAGTGTATGAGGCCCCAGGGAGCTAGAATAGTCTAGGAGGAGGCCTGTGGTGGGGGAGCCCCAGGGTGGGCACACTCGGGGGCCACCTACTGACACTGTGGAGTCTGCTACCCAAGCAACCTAAAGCCAGTCTCAGTGGCCTGTTAGGACCCTGAGTCTTCACCATGTGGAGATTCTGCATAGCTAGGTGTCCTGAAAGTCACAATAGCCCCTGATCCAGAGCCCCTCACTATGAACCTCAGGAACTGCAGGTGTAGATTCAGCTCTCATGCCCCATGGGACACCCCCCCCATAGATGGGGACAATATGGCCTGCCGCATAGATGTTGACAGGACTAACCAGTGCCCAAAGGCATACAACACACTTTCAGTTCATTAGTCCCACCACCTCCTGCCTCTCCTGAGCCACTGGCCCTCGAAAACAGTGATTCTCAAGTTCAAGTGGGCATCAGGACCACGTGGAGGCCTTGTTAAAACAGAGTGCTGGGTCTCATGCCAGAACCTGCATTTCTACCAAGTTCCCAGAGAATACTGATGCTTCCCATCCGGGAACCCCACTTTGAGAACCCCTGTCCCTAATCATGCTAACATGGCTTAATCATCCCTGCCCTGATCTAAAATGGGACATGGATCTGAACTCCCAGCTCTTTTCCAGCGTTTCCCTTCACCCAGGACAGAACCACCCGCTTCTTTCAGAACCAGGGCCTGGGGGTGGACAAGGGCGAGGTCGGGGCAGGGCAAAGCCCTCAAATCAGAGGCTTTTGTGTCTCCTTCCGAGCAGTGCCCCCCCAGCGACATGTCAGAGCTGGTCCATGGCCACAGGCTGCCCTCAGCCCTGGAGGCTCAGGCTCCACAGCCACCTGGCAGACCAGCAGACCTTGGAGGAGAGAAGCCGCATGGAAAGGGCCAGGAGCCAGTGAGTCCGCCCCAGTCACGGTGCTTTCAATGCATCAATAATTCAGAGCACAAGAGGTGTATTGCAGATAATGCCCTTTTGCTAGCCCTCTTAACTACTGTTTTACAAGGCATTCATTATTTTAATTACTTTATGATAGGCAAGGAAAAACACAGACTAAAGAAAGATAATGCCCGTGTTCTTATTTGCTGACACTAGATGCTGTGGCCTTAATTGCCACATGTGGGAGGCAGGCCTGGGGGAGCAGGACAGCAAGGAGGCCGGAGCTCTGCAGAGCGTGCTGCCAGCTGGCCAGGGCAGCCACCTTTGGCCTGCGGGAAAGCCCCCCTCCACTCTGACCTCACTCCGGCCAAAGCATCCCTCGCTGGCAGCAAGTACAACCCCACGCTCTGGTGAAAAGAGGGCAGAGGCCCAGGGAGGCTGCGTCCTTGCAGAGACACACAGCAGGGAAGGAATGGTAAAGACAGTATAATAGTGACTGGCCACCATTTCTCAAGCCAGAACTAAAAATTAAGTGCTTTCCATGTATGACCTTACCCAGAGCTTATGATAATCCAACAGGCAAGTGGAGTTATCCCCATTTCACAAACAGGGTAACTGAGAACAGGTATTTCTCAGAAGAAGGCACAGAGCTTGAGAGGGCTGGAGGCAGACGGCCCACCAGAGCTTGGTCAGCTCTTCCACTGACAAGCTCATGAGCCTCACCTCCTCCATATAAATGGGGACCGGCATGCCGACCCCATCAAGATGGTGGCGAAGCTTATATCAGATCAACGATGTACAGGGTTTGGCCTGGGACTAGGCAGCTATAGTTGCGAAGACAGAGTCCCCATTGCTGGGACTGGTTGCCTCCAAGGATAGTCAGTTAAAACTGCACCACCACATTGATCGGTGGCCCTGAGAGACGCTGATGACCCTAGGCGGGACACTGACCCAGAGAGAAACCTTAATAAATAATTACAGAACGGAGGAAAAGTGAGTATAGGTTCTAACAGCTATGACTTTTCAACGAGGCGATGGGCCCCTGGGAGGGAAGGCACCATGACTTCTGGAGGGGCTCCAGCAGGAGCTGCAGGGCACCCCCCAGGACAGTGGGGGCAGGGATTCCTACACAGAGTGGACCCTGGACCAAGTGGCCTCTTAGATCCCTTCTGATTCTGAACTCCATCAGATCAGCCTCCCATTAGAGACGAGGAGACTGAGGGCCCGAGGGAAGCTGCCTCCTGGGTCCCAGGACACTGCTCTCTCTCCTATGCCCCCAGGACCTTCCTGGGGGAGGGGGGGGGACAGTGGGGACTGGTGCTTTGTTCTGAACCCGGAAAGTGGGCATCCATCAAAACTTCCACTTCCCAGTGCGGAGAAGGACTCAGCTACCCTTCCGGGAGGACTCCTGAGCAGGGTCAGGCAGGCTCCCTGGTATCAAGAGAAACCTGGCCCTGATCCCCACTCATCCTCCAGGGAGACCACTGTGTGCATGTCCCCCTGTGCGTGTGAGTGTGTGAGTGAGAAAGAGAGAGAGACCCCACAAGCTATAGGCTCAAGCTACCCCAGCCTCAGACAGGACACCAGAGATTTTCTGAAACGTAGACAAGGATGCCTTGGGGAGAAGAGAGGAATGTGGAGGAAGAAGGAGCAGGAAAGAACAAAATAGGGTAGGGCCTGGGGGTGTGTCCTGGAAGATGCAGATCTGGCTACAGCCACCCCCTTGACAAAGGGGCTCAGTCTTACTTCGGAGGCCACTCTTCCCTCCAGCCCTGCCCTCTCTCCCCACCAGAGTCTTCCGTAAAACAAGCCACAGCTGCCTCCTGCAGACAGCACGGGACATCTAATGTCAGTGCCCAGATGGCAGGTGGCGGGAGAGCTGCAGGGCGAGGGTGCCGGTCCAGGGGTCTGAGGGCACAGTGGACCAGTCCCCTCCTGCTGCCTGCTCATTCAGGCACTCTCCCACCGGCCTCACCCCTACTGTGCCTTCTCCCTATTCCTTCGAGCAGCATTCCCCTCGGTGACTTCCAATTGGCCCTCCTCTGTCATCTGTGGCCAAGGGCCTGACCAGACCACGCCCACCTGGTGCTCACTACACAGAGCACACATCGGTTGGATGCTCAGGGATTTCTCCTGAATCATAAGATCAAACAGCAAAGCGTCAGAAGGGATCTCAGTAATCCCTTCGGATGCCAACCCTCCTCATTATACACATAAGAACACCGCGGGCTGGAGGGGAAGCCACATGCCCAGTGCCCCCCAGCCCAGGCAGGAGTGAACCCCCCAGCCGCCCCTCTTGCTCTTATCCTTGCTACCTCCTGGGCAAGATGATGCATCCCCTCAAATGCAGCCCAAAGGAACCAGCCACTCCCAAGCACATCCCTCTGCTGCACCAGCCTGCAAGCTGGAGTCTGGGTGTTCCTGGGACTGGCA